CCTCCCTACTGTTTTCCATAGTGGCTGTACCAGTCTGCATTCCCACCAGCAGTGTACTAGGGTTCCCCTTTCTCCACACCCTCGCCAGCACATGTCGTTTGTTGATTTGTTGATGGCAGCCATTCTGACAGGTGTGAAGTGATACCTCATTGTGGTTTTAATTTGCATCTCTCTGATGATTAGCGACGTTGAGCATTTTCTCATGTGTCTCTTGGCCATCCGTATGTCCTCTTTGGAGAAGTGTCTATTTAAGTCCTTTGCCCATTTCTTAATTGGGTTGTTTGTCTTCCTCTTGCTGAGTGCTATGAGTTCTTTGTACACTTTGGAAATTAGCCCCTTATCAGATTCATCCTTGGCAAATATGTTTTCCCAGACCGTGGGGTTCCTTTGTATTTTGAGGCTGTTTTCTTTTGCTGTGCAGAAGCTTTTTAGTTTGATGTAGTCCCATATGTTTATTTTTTCCTTTGTTTCTCTTGCCCTAGGAGATGTATCAGTGAAAAGTCCACTACGTGGGATGTCTGTGACTTTACTGCCTATGTTTTCTTCCAGGATTTTTATGGTTTCGTGACTTACATTTAAGTCTTTTATCCATTTTGAGTTTATTTTTGTGTATGGAGTAAGTTGGTGGTCTAGCTTCATTCTTTTGCATGTATCTGTCCAATTTTCCCAGCACCACTTATTGAAGAGACTGTCCTTACTCCATTGGATACTCTTGCCTCCTTTGTCAAATATTAACTGACCATAATGGTGTGGGTCTATTTCTGGGGTCTCTGTTCTGTTCCATTGATCTATATGCCTGTTGTTGTACCAATACCAGGCCGTTTTGATTACAGTGGCTTTGTAGCACAGTTTGAAGTTTGGCAACGTGATCCCTCCCACTGTGTTCTTTTTTTGCAAGATGGCTGCAGCTATTCGGGGTCTTTTTTGGTTCCATATAAATTTTTGAAATGTTTGTTCTAGGTCTGTGAAATATGCTGTTGGTATTTTCATAGGAATTGCATTAAATTTATAAATTGCTTTGGGTAGTATAGACATTTTAATGATATTAATTCTTCCAATCCATGAGCATGGTATATTCTTCCACTATTTAAATCTTCCTCTATTTCCTTTTTCAGTGTCATGTAGTTTTCCGAGTACTGGTGTTTTACATCTTTGGTTAAGTTTATTCCTAGGTATCTTATTTTTTTAGTTGCAATGGTAAATGGTATTGCTTTTTTAGTTTCTCTNTCTTCCAATCCATGAGCATGGTATATTCTTCCACTATTTAAATCTTCCTCTATTTCCTTTTTCAGTGTCATGTAGTTTTCCGAGTACTGGTGTTTTACATCTTTGGTTAAGTTTATTCCTAGGTATCTTATTTTTTTAGTTGCAATGGTAAATGGTATTATTTTTTTAGTTTCTCTCTCTGAAAGTTCGCTGTTGGTGTATAAGAATGCCATTGATTTCCGGATGTTGATTTTGTATCCAGCTACCTTGCCAAATTCGTTTATCAAATATAGTAGTACTTTGATGGAGTCTTTAGGGTTTTCTATGTACAATATCATGTCATCTGCAAATAATGACACTTTATTTCCTCTTTTCCAATTTGGAAACCTTTTATGTTTTCTTCCTGTCTGATGGCTGTGGCAAGGACCTGCAGTACTATATTGAATAAGAGTGGTGAAAGTGGACATCCCTGTCTTGTTCTGATAGCTTATTTTTAAGTTGACTATACAATAAAAATCTGTAACCTATTAGTGGTATAAATTCTCAATTATGGCCCAAACAGCATTAAAAAAAC